GACGGCATTCGAAGGGTTTTCAGAGAGCCTTGGAAAGTATGTCTCGGCAAATGTCCGCATGGTCGAAAAAGTCCAGTTCTACTGACTGCCTAGTTGTCTGCTAGTAGCCTACTTCCTTGGCTTTGTGATTGCGTCTTGCCTAGACGCTGCCTAACTCAAGACGGAGGAGTTTCGGTGATGTGCAGTGCTGAAATATTAAGATGTCAAAATATATTTATTAATGAATGACTTACGTTACTTTTAAACTCGACAATTTGTTTTTTGTACCACTTCCAAGGCTTTGTGAGCAGCTTGATGAGTGTGTAAGGGTATCGAAGAATGGCATTAGCCTTGACGTATTTTTACTAATCAGGGTAGCAACCGCGGTGGCGGCATAAGTGTCTACTTATTTTTCCCATATTAACAGTCCTCCCATCCTTTTCTCATTGTCACAAGGGCAGCCTTAACTGTTATTGATGCTAAAGAATCGAAATTTAGACTGAGTTACGGAGCATAATGGTTGACCTTTAGCATTTGCTTCAGACAGTTAAATTTGCGAAAACTTAAACAGCTGAATTACCGAGATTGAGTAGGATTTCCGTTGATACTTTGGCTTTAACATCTGCATAGTAAGCCGAAACTTGGATCTGAATAATGGTTTAGGCGTTAATGACGACACTTCTTCACGCAGCAGAACGTAGAGAATGATCCCGATGGTCTAATGTGCATGGTAAAAGTGGCAGCACTGTGTAGTGGAGGTAGAAATCCGGATTCAGTTTCTGCCGAATAGCTGCAACACTGCTCTTTATTAAAGTGATTTTACACCTCTATCTTTCTAGTATTTAATGAGACAGGATTAAGGAATCGACTTGTAGTGGCACTTAATCTTCTTTCCAGTCTGGCGACTGTAATTTGCCTGGCCACTTTTGTAATGTTCAAAATGGAAGAATAACCGATGGGAGCATTTTTGGTGCCGTTCTACTGAAGAAGTGCGCAATTTAAATGAATGGACTCTTCGGTGCCCCTCTTTGCCTTCAGTCCTACTGTATACAAGTAGAAAATTTACTCCTAAGTGCTTACATTTTTCAGCTTAATCTAAGAAAAATCAGGCGCTGCAATTGAGCAAAATATTTCGTTTACATGATGGAGGGTATCCAGCCTATACAAGTACCTTATTTGGCTATCAAATATAGTGCGACTATAACCGTCACCTATACCTGCCATAACTATAAGATAGGCGCAAAGGACTGGGCGTACTAGTTGTTGATTTCCACCTATGGTAACGTGCTTCTTTAAATTGGGAAAAGCGAAAATGGCAGAAATCAGATCCCCTGCGGTTGGATAGCTAGAACGGGCGTTCTATCGGAGGTATCACTGTCTTTATAAAAACTTTAAAATTCATTTTTATAAAATAGGGTTGCTGTAACCTACTGCCCATAATTCAGAAAAGTCATTTTAGTTTTTGAACATTTCCTATACCTTAGCTTTGAGAGTTCCAAATAAAACAGGCTCAATGCTTTGTCTATTTGTCTAACTTTCTGTCACTTAGACACTTAGTAATTTTTCCATGTTACCAAGGGTCGTTTAAGTTCATTTATATATGAATGTTGCCTCGGGTAGGACATACTATGGAAACTAATCGTCCCTACGTCAATTCGTGCACATTTATACTAAAGAATGGGTGGAAATCGCTGCTAGTGGTGAACTTTAAACTAGGAAAGATCAGCATCCCCCTCTTGGAGATAAAGATTGTGGGTCAAAGCCCCCAAATAAGGAAGAAAGTGCCAAAAATTTCATAAATGTTATAATACAAACCAATATTTATTTTGGTAAAAATTCGTTACAACCCTCTGCTTCTTGTTCTGAGGCAATTACCAGATTCTAGAATTACCATTGTTTCATCCGCAATACTTGCTCCGTTTTGCCAGTAACTCCCCTAATTACGCACTTTGCGTTTTTTCACCCGCCTTACGTCAGAAAATGCCACAATTATATGTTAGAACAAACTTTATCTTATGTACGAACTATACATGTAGTTGCTGCTGTTCCTTTCACATTCGACCTTATTGGGGTAATTATTAAAAATATTGGTAAGGGACTGTGCTGAGTTTCCTGTCCATTTTTTATGAGCCGCAACGAGGTTCCTTATATTCTCTGTTGATGTGTGTGCTTACATTAGTCATTCAAGTCGTGTTGCTCATTTGTGAAATCACAAATATTAGTCGGGTCAGGCTTGGACTAAAATGTGTAAGTAATATGGTTTCTTTTATCAGATTAGTTCTGGTGTTCTCAATCAGCTACGCTTATTATGGGTTTCTCTAGCCTAAAATGCCTCTGCACGAAACGGTGCTGACTTGGAATTGTTCCATTTTACTACGTTATGACGTGCGAATTTGGAAGTAAAATACACGTGTGGATGTTTGTATACGTGTTTGCAAAAGGTTCTAATTTCAACAACGTGATGAAACAAAGCTGTGCTGTCTACACTTGAGCGACTTCTTTGCCATTTCATGCATTTGTACTGTCCTCTTGTTTGCTACACTTTGCATAAGAGTTGGCCAAATAAATACAGTTTCTGAAGGGTGTACTAGGCTTTTACCACCTACTGTTTGGCCCTTGATAGATTTGTTTAACCTAGTTCCTCCAAGCTCGAAGGAAGTAATGACACTCTAACAACGATCACTTCCGATCATTCTACCCTTTTCGGTTGCACATATGCAATGTTACTGCTGCCAAAGTAGAAAACAGGTCTCGTTTACTTATGCATGTTTTTCATTTCCGTTCCGCGCTAACGCAGCTGTGTGACTACTCTATCTTCTTCCCTTCATGTATTACTTCTTTGGGTTTATCTCATTTTTCAGCATTGACGTAATTGCAGAATGCTGGCCTCGTCGAAGAGTGATGGTGGGAACGATGATTTTCATCAACCACTTCTGCGTGCTCCCACGAAGATCCCTACAGGCTGTAGGGACGGCAGTGGTGTTGGAAGTCAAGTTCTGAAAAATCTCTCAATCTTGAGTTTTGCATCCTTGGAGTTATTAAAGACCGCCTATGTTTAAACGAATGGAGAATCTAGGTGAAATCTTTATACAAACTTAACTGATTTTGTCAGAATATGCGTTACATTAAAAGATTAGGTGACGTTCTTCACTACAAAAAACTAAGAAAAATCTGCGAGGCGACAATAAGTGGGGAACGAGGATAAAGCTAGCAACATAGCATCATACAATCAAATAAGGCTGCGCATATGATTTAGTGTTTTTGCCGTTAGTTTAAAGTCCTTATGGATGGCACTAGGTGGGATAACTATGGTCTCTATACCACCGTTCGTAAATTCGTCTAACTGTGGGTTCGTTGGAAAATACATGTGAAATGGAGTGTCTCCTCAACTTAGTGCTGGCATTACATGGCGTTCGAAAATAATCTCGGCCCAATTAAAATACTTGACTAACTGGCAATATCCCTGAAATTATCGGCATTAGGTCTGCGTTTATTGTTAATTATATGATTTTCCATGCACTTTTAAAGAAGAATATTAAAATTCAAACCTTCATTGGTACGTCCACAATTGGCAACATAATCTTTACCAGAAAAAGTGCTATTTTCCCATTATAGAATTTGTGGAATTATTTGATACGTCTGTCTTTGTTTAAACACATTGATTCACAATCGCATTCATCCACAGGAGGATTCCGGTCTTCTGTACTAATAAGGCTCACCACATAGCATTTATGTTTTCCCATTCATCAGTACAAAGTTTAGCAAATAGAGTTAGTTTGATTGATTTCCATGACATATGCACTCAGGATTTAATGTTATGCATATTCGGATGGCAAACTTGTATAAACAGTGATTTTGGAAAGTTTAACAAACGCTTGACTGCGTGCATGAAAACGTGACACAGGCGGTGCACACTATTGACATGGATGGATGCCATTAAAACTACCATATCACATCATGCAATCACACTCTAGTCTAATGTACCTTCTTCTCCTTGCACTTGCCTCATATCGCTCCTATGGTGCTGTTGTACCAGATGGCGAGGCAGCACGGAAATTAGAGGATGACCCGTTCGAGGTGCCCAACGCCCTGGATGGTGACTGATACGCTGGACGAAGAGAAGAAGACGCTTAAAGGATCCCACGAAACTGGTAGGGAAAAGGATGTGCTCGTGCCAGCTGGATGGCATCGCTTTCTATGAAGGTGATGATGCTGATGGCATTTTCAGAGCCTTCAGAGGGCCTTGGAAGGTCCCAATCCGCACATATCTATATGACAGCGGAAGATCAGGTACATGAACTGCCTAGTTGTCTAAAAATAGCCTGAGTTTGTGGCATTACCATTGGACTTTGCCAGAACTTTTCTTCCCTGATCGTGGGGAAGTTTCACCGGTGTATTGTCAAAACCTACTTATGCATAAATGAACTGACTTTAATTAGCTTAATTAGAGTGTATGAACTGCTTGTAAACCTTTGCTTGAGTCAGGTTATTTGGGTAATTCGCAAATAACTAAGGAGATAGAAAAATGGCACCCGCTTTGAGTGTGTATTTCACTATACGAGGCTATAGTATACCCATAGTACATAAGCCAACAATCCCCGGATTCCTTTATCCATTTCTAATAAAGCGATCATGTTTCCCAGGCGGCTTTAGATACCACCTGAGTTGACGGAACGCAACGGTTAAGCTTTGGCATATTCTGCAGACAACTGTATCCATGGCGACTCACAGCAGAGCTACTGAGAGTGAGACGAATTTTGGCATCTACTTTAGTCTTGAGCTCTGCATTTTGAGCAGTAATGGAGTAAAACTAGGTCTAAAGGCAATCTACTTTACATGATTGGTTTGCATGATTAGCATGAGACTTCTTCCTGTTGCAGAACGTGGACAATAACCCAGACTGCCTAGTGAGTAGCATTGTGTGGTGGTATGAATACGGAATGGATTTCTGCAAAATAGCCGTAACTGTTTCCTTAGCAACACGTGAACAAAGAATTTGCGTTTAAAGACACGCGATCTTCCTTCTTCTTTTGGCGGTTTTTTCAATTCGCTTGGACACTTGCATCTGTCAAAATAGAAGAATAACAGAGGGAACTCCAGTAACGAAAAGCTAATGATGAGGGGGCAATGGAAAGGAGTTAGGTTGTTGGTGGCATATTTTGTCTTCGGTTCTCTTGTATGCCAATAGTAAAGTCACTTCCAGATGCCCAAATTTATAATGTCTTTGGCAATACATCGGGTGCTACAAGTTCTTCATTTGACCGTCAAATATAGTGCTACATAAACAGTCACTTGTGCCTTCCATGACTGCATTTTAACGGCAATGGGTGAAGCTTACTGCGTGTTTATTTTTCCCTTTTGCAACAGGCCACATTAAGCCAGGAAGGACAAAAGTGCTGGAAATCTGTTGTTTGTGTAAACATGGTGCAAAAAATGAGTAATTTTTCACAGTTTTCCTTCTTTTTATGGAAGCCCTTCCCATCTCACTTCCATTTAAAAAGGTTTGTTTCAAGTCACTCCTTTTAAAGGCAGGAAAATTGCTTTTTGTTTAACAATTTTAGCGCCTTTGTGTCACGAACTTCAAATAGAATAAACACAATGTTTTGATCCTTTGTTTAAATTACTGTTTTGGTAACTAGTACCTTAGGGAATAAGATATTGGTGGCAGCAAATGCAAACTTGATATTAAAAGGCATCCATAATGTTTTCAACCGCTTCATTGCCAAACCTTAACGTGAGAGAAGAAGGTTATCAACCAGAAATGAGAGAAATTGTGACGATATAACTAGCCCAATCCTTAGTGCTATTTATAAAAAAGCCTAGCCAAACTAGCTAATCATATATCAGTACAATCTTGTAGGTACACAAATGAAGTCAATAATAACCAGCAAATTTTGACTCAAGTTTGACATTTCTGCAAAAAAAATGATCCAAACATGAAGAATCAGGTGATGGCCAAACCGTTTTCGTTGTAGGGCGCTGGGAGAGTAAGGAAGGGGCAAGTGAAGCGTGCGCATCAATTGTGCGTGCGAGTGCGCTTCTTCGAAAATTAATCTCCTGCCGACCGCAAAAGAGAAAGTGGCTGACTGACCTTGGCAATGAGGGCAGTATACCACTACTATGCGCGGAATGAAGCTAGGCGCCGTTGGCGAAAACGCGATCAGATTCTGCTTCAAATTGCACGATTAGCATAGCCGTATTGATATAAATTTCGGGTTTTATAGATAATATAGGGAAGCAAAAAATCACAGATATAGTAATTCATTAGAAATACATATTTTAAGATGGATAACAAGGAAACCATTTTGATTGATTCAAAAATGACCATGTTCAAAATTATTGTCTCCAAATCCTCTGCCTGCTTGTGGCTGAGCAGAGCCATAAATTCGTGATTCCGCTTCCTCCCCAACAGAAACTCCACTTTCCGACTGCTTTATCGTCTTCTAGAGCATCCACATGCATCAACTCCTCACAACAGACATTCAGAGGAATTTAGAAAGATGATGTGAGATGTCCACAGTTCTCTCAAAAAGTGGTGGGCTAGGGAAGGCACACAGGCCTCTATAATTAAATGCAGCACGCAGTCAGCAGCCTTGGAAAGTGCTTTTTGCGCCCATTCGAGAAAGCCTTCAGGCAAAACCAACAGCGCTCCCATCGATGGAACGTGGGACTGCAGTCAAAAGATTTATGGAGACCACGAATTTAATTAAAGCGTTACTGTGACAAATGAGTCGGTAGGTGAATGGCTCGAATGTGACACACCCACCTCCAAAATCGCAAAGCCGCCAATGGATACAAGCTCCACCTTCGTTTTGGGAACTTACTGCGATGGCGTTAATTATGCCAGCCTTAAGGGGAATGTGTTCTCGCAACAGCATCAAAACTCGTCCCTCCCTGCATCCCAGTCTGCACTCAAGTGAGCGAAATCAACAAAGCACCATGCTGCTAAGATCCTCAAGCACCGCTTGATTTTGACGAAACCGTGAGACTGGTCGTCCACCTCACGGCAATGGAAGTAATTCATTTTCGGTTGTACCACTAAATTATGCCAGAATCGAGGGAAATTAATACATTGCATTGCCCTACTTGTAGGCTGACATTTCTCGACACTCATTCAGTACACTGTGGGCATTCGGGTTTGGGTAGTAGGATTGGGGTTTCCAGGTAGAAAATCCCAATAGCTCCTACTGAAATGTACACCCACAACGGTGGTCACATTTCAATGCTACCAAATGACGGGTGAATAACTTTCCAAATTAAAATGCATCCAAAGTAGAAATGGCACCCAATACATTAAAAAGGCACCAAAAGTGATGGGCAAATTAAGAACGTACCATTCTCGGAAACGCGTTTGTTACCCACGTATAAATGGACAGAGTAGGAAATGGAGTCCAGGGTTAGTTTGCCACAATATCTGCCTCCATTCAGATAAGTAATGTTACCTCTCATAAACTGTCAAATTTGTCATTTAATTTCTCTCTGCGAATATCTGGTGAACTGGGAGCATTGTTAGGGATCACCATTTCTAGGAATTTGAGCTTACGTCTCCCT